GGAAGTCGCGACTCAGTGTCCATCTCAGAGTTCATATGGATGACAAACCCTGACCTGCAGCAGGTCGGACTGGGCAACACCCTCCTACCAGAACCCTACCAGTCAGGGAGAAACCGCCTGAGGTCCTGAGGGAGCATGGGAAATCATACTAAGATACCACCCATCAGCTCAAAAACGCCAAAATAGGGTCCCCTACGAACAGCGGTACTGAAAGTTAGATGTGATACCCAACTGAAGAATACATACCAAGAATATCCAACTGTAAATAGACATGCTTAACTGTTACAGTGAGCTTTTTAAAACCTTGAATGAATTATTTAAACCTTGAATGAATTTAAGGATGAAATCGTCTGGGAAGCAGCAGAAAAGATGTACAGACAATGCCCAGGGAAACAGTGGTTGTGTGCGATTATGCCACAAAACCACGAAAGTATATTTTAGATCTGCCCGTGTGAATTTAACGGTCATTGGGAGTTTGAAATTCCTCTAATAATTAGGACACATCAAACAAGATTTTCTATATTAAATATCATGTGTTTTTTTATAACTCAGTATGCATTCCAGATGAAATACGGAACAGATTTTAAAGTAGCATGTAATACTTTCTCCTGTTTGCTGGCATATAGAAGTTGGTGTGGCCATTGTTAATGAGCTGCCTCTTCAACAGAGACAGTGGTGAAGTTCTAACCTGCTTCCAGGCTTGCTGAAGCATTTCTACAAGCATCACTTACATGATTATGCAAATATGAGATAATTAAGAGGAGGTTAAGAGTGAGAGGAGGCAGCTGTGGGCTGTGTTACTCAGGATGCACCACAGGTAAAAATGGGCTACAGAGAATATCCACATCCATCATGCTGGCGTTTTCTGCTGGCTGTTTACACACAAATGCATGTCATTTACCAAAATGCTGTGTAACCCAGAAACCACTTGTATTTGTGTTTCCCCATTTCTCTTAATATTTTATGAATTGTCTTGTAAAAAAATGGTAGGATGTGTATGCAGTGCACAAATGTTAGTTACCTTTCAGAGACTTTAAAGGGAAGCTTATTTTAAGAAAACTGTCACATGCCTTGTTGCTTTTTAAAATTTCTATGTGCATCATCCACTTTAGAGAGACACTTTTGCACATTCTGTTTAGGGGACGCACTTCTACTTCCTTGAGTTTCACTATCATCAGCCTGAAACATTTCCCTTTGGAATCTGACTTTGTGAACCTTTCATGGTAAGGCTTAACTTACACTAACAGTTTTATAAATTACACTGTTCAGTGATCTCTCCATCTATTGTATAACTCAGAATGATATCATCTTAGGCTTGATTTCAGATTCACAAGTTCCTCCTTTTCCTCCATCACAAATCATGCATTAGAATTGTAAATGGCAACCGAAACTGGCTTTTAAAATTTTTTGAAGACCATTGATGTGCTGTTACTATACTAGTATATGAATGTGAGCGACTCTGAACAAATTTACTAAAACATCCATAGTCCAGTAAGTCTTTAACTTGTCATCTGATCTACTAACAGCCAGGAAGCAGAGGAGGTTAATTTCATCCTCTGCTGTTAGAGTAAACTGTGAGGGCCTTGGGAATCACTGTGACCTTGTCTTTTAACTTTAAGAATATACATATTCTTCCACGCAGCACTCTCATGATTGAGAACCTATCCCTGAGAAAAAACTAACGTGCCAGTACATGAGATTATGTTTATCAATATATACTGTGTATTTTGGTAAGTACATAAGGAAACAGTGTAAATGACCACCAGTGGGAATGATGGAATAAATTGTGGCGAAACAGATCATGGTTGATGGCATTCCACAGAAAATGTGTAGGAACAACTCCTCCAGGTCAGATGAGGGCAGCAGGAGGGGAGAGAGTATATACCACATTTTCTAAAATAAAGATTTAAGAACCTTATGTGTGTGTGTTTTTGTATATGACTTTATGAGCCCAGAGAACAAAATTCTCCTAAGTCAGAAATAGAATTGGAAAGTTGTTCATGATTCCTTAGTCCCTAAATTAACACTCATACTAAAACCACACATAACCCATTGAAATGGGCATGTTAAATAACATGAGTTAACACAGCACCACCTAAGGCAGGCTCTAGCTATCCTGGCTGTATTGTGCCCTTGAGCCTTTTCTCAACAAAAGCACGTATTTTCTGTTCATTGTTCACTCAATGGAAACCTTATATAAACGGAAAACCAGCAAAGATTTTTTTAAAAATGCAAGGAATGTCATGTTATTATTACTCTAAGTTATAAAGTCCAAACACTTTTCGAACACATACCCACCCTTACGACGGCCAACGTGATCACAGCTATGACTGTACTCTAGCAAGCTGTTTGCTCCCAGGGCCTGGAAATTCAGATCAGAACCTCTAATAGTTTTTAAGTGTCTTGTCATCATAATCCAAAGTGGTTTTAGATAAACTTCTGAAGACAGATCCTGTAGCCTGACCTTAGGGCAGTGTTTCTTTTATCCTCTCAGCCTGGAGGCCGGGTCACTTCCTGGGGGGAGGCCAGAGGCCAGGAGGCAGTGCCCTTTGCACAAGAAAACCCAGCTCACAGGTGTTTCCAGACTCACCTGGACCTGTCTTACCCCAAAGCCACCCCCACTGTGCTGGACTCTGGGACCTGTTCTTACTCCACTGCGATTTTCATTTTGGAGATTTTCTTCTATTTCCATAGATATTTCTCATAACCAAAGTGCTGAAATATTTTTTGCTTTTTCACACTGTTTTGTGCTTTTTAAATCTAAAGTTGGGAATTATCTACTTGACATAATTCTCATGTGGATAAATCTTGGTGAGTGAGGACTAGTCAGTCATATGGGGAATAAGGTGACGAATGACATTCTAGGCAAGAGGCACAAAGCGTGCAAAAACGAGGAAATGTGAGACGCTGGGTCTTTAGTGTGGGGGACTCAATGGGATGCAGCTGAAGGTTCAGTCCCAGCCACCTCCCCTTGGCTCCCTGTCGTGTCCTCATCCTCCAGCTGAGTGGCCAGCCGAGCCCTGGTCTCCCTACCTGCGCTCAAGAGCCTGTGCCATCCCCTGGCCTTATTTGGTTACCTGGCTCCTGTCAAGTCCTGCGGCCAAAGTACAATGCACTCTGGTCTCACTAAGTCTTCCGACTCACCGGGTCTACGCTCTACTGTTTTTGAAAAGGAAAAGCCTACCCATTATATTTGTAAAAAATGTACCCAATTGTTTAATACATTTCTAGCCACTTGGACATGTATTTTTAAAGATCTCGGCTTTAATAAAAAGGCAAAGAGAAAAAAAAAGAAAAGGAAAAGCCATAGCGCCTCCTGCTGGGGCTGGATGTGGAACACGGCTGGGACCTCTCTCCCCCATTTTCGAGCTCTTGGCTAACATTATTGGTGACCACCCTATCCTCGGGTCCTCTCCTGCCCCCAAAGAGAGGCTACCCCTCCGCCCGGCACACACTTGAATAGTTGCATGTGGAACCCACATTGGAATGAAGAACCTCCCTCTCTCCCTTGGTTTCATAAGGACTGAAGGATGTTAAAATACAACCACAAACCAACCAAGACACCTATTGAAGTTAAGGGGTTCATGAAAGAACCCAGAGAGGGGTACGGAAGAACTCGAGTTTCTGGAGTGTCCAGGGGGCACGAAACCCTATGAAAAGTGCAGACCACAGCTGTTAACACTAACGATGCAGTGGATGTGGGACATCATTCCTTCCAAAAAGATTCCGTGAGTGCCAGCAAGGGGGCAGGCATAGTGGCTGCTGGGGATACGGTGGTGATTCTATGATGACAGAGGCTCCTGCCCGGGGTGTTTATGGATTAGGGGTGCGGCCCAGCGCCAACAAAACCTGGGCAGAGGACACGCTGTGTGATGAAGCAGGAAGCAGTGTGGGCTGGGCTCGTCCCTGTGAGAAAAATGTGAAACCACCAGAGAAGCATCCTCTGCTTTTAAAAAGTGCACGAGCGGATGCTAACTGGAAGGGACTTTGGGTAGCGTTGCCCAGAAACAGAAACCCCGCTAGGAGCGAAGCCCAGGAGGGAAGTTCTGCCAATTCAAAGCCCCCATTTCAGTCGCTTTCCACAAAACTCAGAGCAGTCAAGTGCTTCCTGTTTCCTTCTGTCTGCTACTGAGTGACAATTAACAAACCATCTTGCAAGGATCCAAGTTCACTTTAATTCCTTCTGCTTCCCTAGCTCTGTTCCTAGTGTCTCCTGGTGCCCCCCATCCCTCCCACCATCCAGGCTCCTGAAAATGACCTCAGAACTCTGAATTCCACACCCCGAGAAACAGAGTAACTGCAGCTTGTCTAGGGGTGAGGCCAACAACGTGAGCTCTGGCTGATGGATTTCAGCAGAACGTGGGAAGAAGTTGTCAGAGGCCTGCGTCCCCGCAGTTTGCTGAGCCAGGTGAGAAAAGCAGGGGCAGCAGGTGGGGATTGAGACCCATAGGGAAATGAGAAGAGGGGAGGGAGAGGTATGTTATGCTTAAAAGGATGCATTTGAAGGCAGTGGGAGGCCTGTGGGACTGTGGCCTCAGATCACTTTGCTCAGGACGATGGATGCTGTAATGTTGAAAATAAAGCCAGGCTTGTCTGCGATGAGCACCGGCTAGGGCAGGGTGGGCAACCTTTTTGACTCGAGGGCCAGGTTCTTAAACTGGACCGGAGGGCCAGAACAAAAGCATGGATGGAGTGTCTGTGTGAACTAATATAAATTCAAAGTAAACATCATTACATAAAAGGGTACGATCTTTTTTTTTTTTTTTTTTTAGTTTTTTTTTTAGTTTTATTCATTTCAAATGGGCTGGATCCGGCCTGCGGGCCGTAGTTTGCCCACAGCTGGGCTAGGGGCAGGGCTGGGGCTGGCTGTGGTGAGCTGGCTTGGCTGTGCTGGGTACGGGAGCAGCCTGAAGAATGGGCACAGGCCTGGACAAGGCCGGGCAGCTAAGGGGTGCCTTGCTGAGACATA